ACATCTAGGTCAATTGGCATAACAAAGCTTATTAAGAAAATGTTCTGCATCCTACTTTGGTGAGTGGTGTCTTAAAAGCTTGCAAGCGGCCATCTAAGATGCATCAATTGGTCCCAATCACATGGAGTAAAGGAGAATGAAGAACACCATAGACACAACAATCATGAAGATGATGCAGGATTGGGCAACATTTCCACTCAGTGGTACCATGGAAGAAAAGACCTAGTGATCTGTTTCCATTAAGATTCCAGGCAAGAAAACCCTAGGGAGAACACATGGGGTCACCATGAGTATGAATTGACTTGATGACAACTAAAAATAACAACAACTTGAACAAATATCCAAAACATATTGTTAACAGTGATGTAAAATTTTAATCTTAGAAATTAATGGACAAATATTCGGGTTTGTCATGCATAAATTCTCCTAGTTTATTGCAAGGTAGTCATGGTTAGGCATGAGAGTAAGACCTCACAACGTTCATTTAGAACTGGACAATCGGAATTAACAATTGCAATTACAATGTTAGTTCAATGGTTAGAGTCCCAATATTTAGACTTCAGGCTTTTACCTTTTATGAGTGATTTCAGGAGGAAGGTTTGACCAAAGCTTGAACTCGGCAGAGGTCCCTCGTAGTTAGGGTCTGAGGTCAGTAGCAGGCAAGAGTCTCAGCTATGCCTCTGGCAGGGTCTTCCAAGAGTGTCAGACTTGAGAGGGTATACTCTGTCTCTGCCTTCTTTCAGTGAGTGAGCAGAAATTCAGGGTTTATATGTGAAATTTTTACCTTTGTCTCACATGATAAGTGCCAGTGTGATGTCAAGACTAGTACGTTATGTCTTCTCTCCAGGGTTAGAGATTAGCTGAAAGTCACAGTTTCTCTTCAAGGTTAGAGATTAGGGAGGTTGTTTAGATTTATGTCTCAAGGCTAATGTCTTAGTTATCTAGTGCTGCTCTAACAGAAATAGAACAAGTGGATGGCTTTAACAAAGAGAAATTTATTCTCTCATAGTCTAGGAGGTTAGAAGTCTGAATTCAGGGTGCCAACTCCAAGGGAAGGCTTTCTGTCTCTGTCGGCTCTGGGGGAAGGTCCTTGTCACCAATCTTCACTTGGTTGAGGAGCTTCTCAGCGCAGGGACCACGGGTCCAAAGGACGTGCTATTCTCCTAGCTCTTGTTTCTTGGTGGTATGAGGTCCCAAGTCTTCTGCTGGCTTCTCTCTTTTATATCTTAAAAGAGATTGACTTAAAACACAACCTAATCCTGTAGATTTGAGTCCTGCCTCATTAACATAACTGTTGCTAATTAACCTCATTAACATCACAGAGGTAGGGTTTACAACACATAGGAAAATTACATCATATGACAAAATGCTGGACAATCATACAATACTGGAAATCATGGCCTAGCCAAGTTGACACACATTTTTTGGGGACACAATTCAATCCATCACAGCAAGTTTGCAAAGATTAACTATGTTATGTTTTCTATCATCACAGCATGTAGGGGGCAAGGTCAGTGTAACCTAATCATTGTTTACCATGTTCTTCATATACTTCTATGTTTCTATGTCTAAGTTCAGAAATTTTCTAAGTAACTTTATAATGACTTACAGGTTTCTAATGACTTATAGTTAATGTTGGAAAGCCTCACAAAGGTAGATATATTTCTATTTCTAAGTTCGTACTATGAGTGCTTATTCATAAGAATTTTGAAAACATAATAGTGACTTATAACTTATGTGATTTTGGATCATTATAGAAACATACAGAACAATTGGCATTTTTGGACAGCACACATTAAACAAGTATGGTGAAAGGATACAACTCTTTTTTTTTTTTGTTGAAGTTTACATTTCAAGTTAGTCTCCCATACAAAAATTTATACACACATTGTTATGTGACCCTAATTGCTCTCCCCATACTGTGACAGCACACTCCTCCTTTTCACCCCTGATTCCCCATGTCCATTCAACCAGCTTCTAACCCTCTCTGCCTTCCCATCTCACCTCTGGGCAGAAGCTGCCCATTTAGTCTCTTGTATCTACTTGAGCTAAGAGGCACACTCCTCATGACTATCACTTTATGTTCCATAGTCCAGTCCAATCCCTGTCTGAAGAGTTGGCCTTGGAAATTGTTTTAGCTCTGTGCTGATAGAGAATCCAGGGGCCATGCTTTCTGGGGTTCCTCCAGTCTCAGTCAGATCATTAAGTCTAGTCTTCTTGCTAGAATTTGAGTTCTGCACCCCACCTTTCTCCTGTTGTGTTCCCTGTCAGGGCAGTCATTGGTGGTAGCCAGGCACCATCTAGTTATTCTTGTCTCAGGCTGATGAAGTCTCTGGTTTATGTGACCCTTTCTGTCTCTTGGACTACTGCTTTCCTTGTGTCTTTGGTGTTCTTCATTCTCCTTTACTCCATGTGATTGGGACCAATTGATGCATCTTAGATGGCCGCTTGCAAGCTTTTAAGACACCACTCACCAAAGTAGGATGCAGAACATTTTCTTAATAAGCTTTGTTATGCCAATTGACCTAGATGTCCCCTGAAAGCACAATCCCCAGATCCCTGCCCCTGCTACTCTGTCCCTCAAAGTGTTTGATTGTATTCAGGAAACTTGTTAGCTTTGGTTTAGTCCAGCTGTGCTGAGTTCCCCTGTAGTGTGTGCTGTCCTTCCCTTCACCTAAGACAATTCTTGTCTACTATCTAGTTAGTGAATAACCCTCATCCTCCCTCCCCACCCTCGTAACCATCAAAGAATGATGTCTTCTGTGTTAAAACCTTTTCTTGAATTCTTGTAATAGTGGTCTTATACAATATTTGTCCTTTTGTGACTGACTAAATTCACTCAGCATAAAGCCTTCCGGATTCCTCTGTGTTATAAGATGTTTCACAGCTTCATCGTTGTTCTTTATCGTTATGTAGTATTCCATTGTGTGGATATACCATAATTTGTTTATCCATTCGTCCGTTGATGGGCACCTAGGTTGTTTCCATCTTTCTACTATTGTGAACAGTGCTGCAGTGAACATGGGTTTGCATGTATCTATTCGTGTGATGGCTCGTATTTCTGTAGGATGTATTCCAAGGAGTGGGATAGCTGGATCATATGGTACTTCTATTTCTAGCTTTTTGAGGAAGCACCGAATCGATTTCCAAAGTGTTTGTACCATTTTACATTGCTCAATGCAATATGTCACTTCTTGTTTGCTACATCCATGGACTTTGATTGTTAATCCAAGTAGAATGACATCGCTGACAACTTCAATTTTTTTCTCCATTTATCATGATGCTGTTAATCAGTCCAGTTTTGAGGATTTTCATTTTTTTTTTAATTTTTTTAAATTGTACTTTAGATGAAGATTTACAGAATAGTTTCTCATTAAACATATTGTTTTATGACATTGGTTAACAACCCCATGACATGTCAACACTCTCCCTTTTTGACCTTGGAGGACCTTTTTTTTTTTGGTGAAAATATACATAGCCGAAGTTACACCATTTCAAAACCTTCCACATGTACAATTCAGTGACATCGATTAGATTCTTCCAGTTGTGCTGCTATTCTCACTATCTTTTTCCAAATTATTCCATCACCATTATCTTCCACTCACTGTCCCCTAGGCTTCCCATCAAACTTTTTGAGTTGCTGTTGTCAATTTGATTTCACACAGATAATACTTTTTTTTTTTTTTGTATTTTAGATGAAGGTTTACAGAACAAATAGTTTCTTATTAAACAGTTAGTACACATATTGCCCTATGACAATGGTTAACAACCCCATGACATGTTAACACTGTCCCTTCTCAACCTTGGGTTCCCTCACCAGCTTTCCTGTCCCCTCCTGCCTTCTAGTCCTTGTCCCTGGACTGTTGTGCTTCATTAGTCGTTTTGTTTTATGGGGTTGTCCAATCCCCAGCTGAACAGTGAACTTTGGGAGTGACTTTACTACTGAGCTAAAAGGAAGCTCCGTGAAGCTGCTTTCTCGTATCCGGTTTGCTGATCTACAATAGAAGTCCAAGATGCCGGATCCGTGCTGCAGTAGCTGATAGGGGACCTCTGTATGTATCTCTCCTTGCTCTCTGCTCTCGGTCAGTTTCTTATTCCATTTGTTGCTTGGCTGAGTTCTTTATCTCTTCATTTGATGCTTAGGGTTTCAGGACTGATGTGGCTCTCTGTCTTAGTTTTTCAGATCTTTGCTGTGGAGGGACGGCATGGTACTTCTGTCTACAGCACCATGTTGCCCAGAAGTAAGTGAGGATTTTCATTTTCTTGATGTTCAGGTGTAATCCATACTGAAAGCCGTAATCTTTGATCTTCATCAGTAACTACTTCAAATAGTCAGCAAGGTTGTGTCATCTGCACATTGCAGGTTGTTAGTAAGTCCTCCTCCAACCCTGATACTGTGTTCTTCATATGTCCAGCTTCTCAAATTATTTGCTCAGCATACAGATTGAATAAATAAGGCGAAAGGATACAATCTTGTCACACATAAGAAACTAAATATAGTGGTTTGTTGTTGGGAGAAGGAGGTAGAAACTGGATGAATAAGAGAACAGGTAGGAGGAAGATTTTCACTGTGTATCTTTATATACTTTTTTATTTATGATCTGTGTGAATGTATTACGTAACATAAACATTTAAATTTATTAGTTAAAATATTTTTAGAGTCACATATTTTGGGTATCCTTTTTAGAAAACATACTATTTACTTCAATTATGAAAAAATGATGTTAAAAATGAGACTTAAGAGAGTGAAAGGCATACAACCTTCATCTGAACTCCTAAAATACTAAATGTGTACCACTCACCTGATTTTGTAGCATATTAGTTATATTTTTATGTAAGTGGCCTATCATTTTTCAACAATTACGGTAAATATGTCCTATATTCTAAATGTGTATGTTGTTGTTGTTTTTGTTCGGTGCTGTCAAGTCGGTTCCAACTCATGTGACCCTATGTACAACAGAACAGCTTAAGTGTGTATAAAGCGTCCTAATTATTCTCACCTCTAAAATCCTGAAAACGCTTATTGCTCTTCAATGCTAAAAGGGCAGTCTTTAGGGAAATGTCCCCCTTTTCTGTAAACAGTAAAAAATAAATTAATATATTCAAGAAACATAAAGGACTTATACAGTAAGCTAAATTGGTTCACTTATTGTCCCCTTAACACACATCTCATGATTATCTACCTCCCTACACTTTTGTGGAGAATGCTGTATACTCTCTACCCACAAAAAATCCTATTCATGTCAAAACCAGCTCACAGTTTTTGAAAAAGCCTTCCCTTAGCCTATATCTTCCTTTAACTACTGCCCTATTCCTTTCCTCTCCTTTACAACTTAATTTCTGGAAAGAAATGTTTTACTCATCACATCCTCATTCACACCTCAAATTACTGCAATCTGGCTTCCACCTCCATTGAAACTGCTCTCTTATTGGTTAACCAGTTAACTATTGCCAAACCAATAAACACCTTTAAATTTCTGTCTTAACATCTTCCTCCTTCAAACTCTTTCTTCTCTCTGTATTATTGATACAGCTTTCTCTTGGTTTCCCTCCTACTGTTCTGGTTACTTCTTCTCATTGTCCTTTATAAACCATTCTTTCTCCATCATTCCTTAAGTGTTAGCATGCTCCAGTGCTCTGTCCTTGGCTCTCTTCTCATTACAACTCTATATACTTTCCCTGAATTTTCCTGTAACTACAAACTGTATGTTGATGACTTCCATATTTCTATTTCCAGCCCATCTTCAGCTCTATGTTCACAATTACCACAAACACAGTATTTCCTAAGCTGAACTCATTTTTTCACTAAAACCTGAACCTCCTCCTGTATTCCCTATCTTAGTAAAGGACATCATCATGAAATAAGTCACCCAAGCCAGGAATGTTACTCATCCTCAATTCCTATCCCTCTCCTTTCCCTAACTTAATGAAACAATGATTAAGTTCTGCCTCTCTAATCTCATGTATGTCTTCTTTCCATCCCTAGAGATAAAATCTTAGTTCAGACACTCATAATTTTTAACCTGGATTATTACATGCCGTCTAAAATGTCTCCTTGCTTTCCAGATTGCTCTCCTTCAATCATTTCTTAACACTGATACCGGAATGGCTATTTAAAGTGCAAAATTAATCTTGTCAGTTTTCAACTTTGAATTCTTCAATAACTCCCTAGAGCCTTAAGTATAAAATTCAAACTCTTTAGCTCAGGAAAAAAAAAAAAAAAAAATCCTTGATCTTCTCATTTCTCTCCCTCTCTTACTATGCCTCACCAAGTCAATGGCCAAACTTTGGTTCACATCATAATGAACTGCAGAGCTTATTTAAAAGACATATACATCTACACACATGAATATGCCTTGGTCCCAATGTAGATATTGTGAGGCATGAGATCAAAGTATCTGGGTATTTAACAAATTCCCTGAGTATTTCTGATGTAAATCAGTTTGAGATCCACTGCTGTAAGTCCTATTGGAGTACTTGGAGTTCCTTGGCTCCTCCAGGAACTTCTACACTTTGCATATGCTGAGTATTCCTTACTAATCCCTTCTGGTCCCCAGAACCCCCAATTCCTGGTTAATTTATACTTATATTTCAAAACTTAACTCAGTGTCCTCTCCTCCAGGAAGCCCCTTTGACCACTCTATCCAACTCTTACAGGTTAGGTACTTATTGTATATGCTCCCATAACACCCTATGTTTACCTATTCCATAGCATTTAACATTGGTGTTCTTGTTCTTTGTTTATCATCTCAGTAGACTGTAAGTTCTTAAGAAACTGTGTCTTTTATCTTTATATACTTAGTGCTTTGCAAGCAATAGATGATCAATAAATCTTCATAATGAATGAAACAGCTCTCCTCCGAACTCCTACAGAACTCAGTGTTATTACTGTTTCTCTGGCAATTATTTAAGAACTGTCATGTAACATTTCACAATTTACTGAACCTTTATCCCCAGCATAATTGTATATCTGTTTGTTGTTTATATCTTGCCTCACCAACTAGACTGAAAGTTTCCTGAATATGAATAGTTTTATATTTCTGTGAATACATTACATACTATATAACATCATACATACAACAGGCCTCAAGATCAGGTCTGCCATATACAGTGTGCAGGCCATGCACTACACAAAACCAAGGGGTGCCTTTTACACAGATGACAATGTGCCCCGGAAGTTGTGCAGTGCAGTGGCCCCAATCAACATGATTGATGAAGCAATGCCAAAATGCATTTAATAACGTAAAAAGGAAAATACTTCTAGAAATGGATTTTAAATTAATTTTTAAAAACATACATAATAATCGCCAAAATTTCAAAATTATGTATTATATTTTTTCTGAAATCTCTTAGGATTTACATTCATGCCACAAAATATTGAAGGGTGATTAAAATACATATCTCAGGCAGTGGGGAGAAAGTCCTCTCTTAGCCTCTTCCTGGTTAACAGAGGTTTCACTTCGGCACAACCTTCTTAGAAAATTATTTCACATTCCCTGCTTTATATAGTATGTACTCAAAACAAACCAACAAACAAACCCTGATGCAATCAACACAGGATACTTGATGGGGCTATAAAGTAGGGCTTATTTCACCAGTCTAGACTCCCGAAAAAAATCTAAACCTATAATACACACTTCCTTTACTCAAAGCTTTTCTATCAAAATAAGTGTATGATCTCAATAGACTTGTTCTGTTAGAGTGTTTTTTTCCCCTGGATAATAAAGAGAAAATTGTTGGGGGGGTGGGAAATGGAGGATAGGGAAAGTGAATACATTGTGCCAAGATATGGTAACAGCTGAAATTTGATGAAGTCAGTTACTCTTCTAAAATATAAAAATAATCGCTAGTACTTTATTATGAAAACCAACTGATAGTGATTTTATGTACCATCAATATCAAGCGTTTTCTCTAACATCTCATATTCTTCACGCTTTAAAGGAACACCAAGGTCATCAAAAGCATCTTTCAAGTCATTAACTTGAATTCTGTCACAGTTCATCAGGTTGACAGTATTGAGGGCACTGTGTATATCTGAAAATAAACAGCAATTATGTAAATCACTTAACACCGTTCGGGAATATTTTTATTTTCTGAACTTGTGAACAATAAAATTCTAAACTTTTTCAAACATATCTCAATTAACATTATCTCTGTGATTCCAAAATTAATAAAATAAGCCAAATAATCCTTTCTTCTAAGTATTACCCTGAATTGGTCAGTTATTTTGTCTTAATATAAAAAAACAAGTTGGCCGAGATTTCTTTATCTAACTCAATAAAATGATCAATTTTTAAAAGTTAAAATGCAGCCATTGTTGCACTATCTAAACTAAAACCAAACCCGTTGCCGCTGAGTCGATTCCAACTCATTCTGACTTAGCAACCCTTAAAGCTCAACTGCTAACCAAAAAGGTCGGCAGTTCGAACCCACCAACTGCTCCTTGGAAACCCTATGAGGCAGGTCTACTCTGTCCTATAGGGTCGCTATGAATTGGAATTGACTCGATGGCAACCAGTGCACTACCTAGGGAATGTTTAAGTGAGTGAAAGGGACTTCAGGGCTCATCTCTGTCTATATGAAACTGCCCAAATTTCAGGGTATAACAATATAAGTAGTCCTGAATTTTCTTCTATTTATATGTGTTGCTGATTCATTAATTTTTTCCTTATTCCTCATCACTTTTACTCTCTAATTAAAGATTCTTGCCTCTTTCCTAACCAAGGAAGCCAACAAGTAGGAGTGTTAAGGTTTTCAGGAATACATTGTGCCTAAAAAGAGAAACAGTCTTCACTTTTTAATTTAAAAGATACTTATTTATAAGAGTCAAATGCCACAAAACCTGTACATGAAATTTTAATTAACGAGTTTGGGGTGACAGGGAATAGATGTCAGGGTTCTTCTGTAAAGAGAGAAAAATGTTAGAGATTCTTTCAAGCTGATGTACTCTGCACTCTTCCCTGGCTGTATCTAAACCTCTAGGAGTTTTCTCCTCTAAACTGGACCTTTAATATTACAGCCATGCCTCTAATTTCTTTATCAATGAGTTATACAAATCACCATACATTCAAAGCCACTGCTTGGTTCATAATCTCTAGTTTATCTAAGAGACTATGTTATTTTTTAAAGGTGAATTACAGGTACACAAAAGAGTAACCAAATTCACTTGTTAGATGTCTTATTTCCCAACAAGCAGATAGCTCTCTCCGTCTCCACACCTAATTCTTCAATAAGCAGGTCCTTTCCAGCAGGTTTCAGACACAAGCCTCAAATTTAAGCTGAGACTAATCTTCTCATCCTCCCAAAAACTCCTGACACTCAAAATCACTCTCTCCTCTCTAATTGAAATGAAGAAAAGAAATAAGAAGGAAAGAAAAGTCCTTCAGCTAAGGACTTCTTTGGGAAGACAATGCATTTCTGTTTTTACAAACTGACTTCTTGACCTCTGTATTTTCTTCTCCCATGGTTCATCACCCTCAGTCTGACTCACGCGGCTCTATTCCTTAGTCATCCCTTTTTTCACATCTTTCTGCCTTCTAATCATATCAAATGCTTTCAAATATATCTAACCTACCATTATTTGAACAACATTCCACATTTGCATCAAACCTACATAAAATAGTTCTTATCTAGAACAAAAAGGATTACAACTAAAATGTACATAGTAGTTATTTAACAGTTCTTCATTATAAAGCAAGAACTTTTGGTGATTATCTAGAATGGAAAAGGTTAGAAATGTTAAACCATGAAATTAAACCACCTTCATTTACAAACAGTTATGTTGTCTTCCTCAACTCCCAACTAACTTGAGTTACTGGGTTATAACTGCATTATTTATTAACACTAGAATATTTCCTCTAAAAACATATACACGTGGTAAACTTTTTGTCTACTTACTGTTTGAAACAATAATAAAAGATTATATTAATTCAGAAAACAGTGTACACCACAGGAAGAAAAAGATAAAATTATAAAGCACAATATTTATTGGCCATGGCTTTTGCGAAATCAACAGTGAAGTTATTACTAAAAATCTCTGAAGACCACACACATTCTACAATGGCATACTACGTTATCTGTGAAATTCAACAATCGTACAGGCAGTTCTTGGGTTATGAACATCCAATTTACAGACAACTTGTACTTGCCCTTTAATGTTATGTAAATTTGCCCTCACTTTGAAAGGACTGAATCCACCCTACTCACAACAACTTCTTCATCACATCACCTTCACTTGCTGCAAGTACAGCTTTTAAATCACTGAAAAGATTTCAAGCCTTTTTTGGCCCTAAAACTCAAACCCACTTCCGTCAAGTCGATTCGACTAATAGTGACCCTGTAAGACAGAGTAGAACTGTCCCATATGGTTTCCAAGGCTGTAAATCTCTACAGAAGCAGACTGCCACATCTTTCTCCTGCAGACCACTGTTGGTTTCGAACTACCAACCTTATAGTTAGCAGTCAATTGCTTTAACCACTGCACCACCAGGACTCCTTCCCTGCACTAAAGTAAGGCTAAATAAGAACCATATGCACCTATTCTGACTTACCCTCAAATTAGACTTAAAGACTTAAAGACACAGTTAGGAACAGATCTCATTCATATACTTAAAGACACAGTTAGGAATGGATCTCATTCATAACCCAGGGACTGCCTGTATTCCAAACAACTTCATGAAAAATACATTTGGGCTTTATAAAAATAAATATAGTTAAGATTAACTCTGTTGTAACTCAGAATAAAAAAAGAACTGAAAATTATTTGCCAGTTCAAAGCAAAAATTAATTGGATGGTTCATGACTAGGTTCAATGTAATGAGTTTTTATGACATATACAAGCCTTTTAAATAATTCATGATAATCTCCAGAAATCAAAGCCTTTACAAAAAAAAAAACACATGAAAGTTTTTCTAGGCCTCCACCAGACTAAGTCCAGTACAGCTAGATGGTGCCCGGCTACCACCACTGACTGCTCTGACCAGAATCACAACAGAGGGTTCTAGACAGAGCTGGAGAAGGATGTAAAACAAAATTCTAACACACACAAAAAAGACCAGATTTACTGGCCTGAAAGAGACTGGAGAAACCCCAAGAGTATGGCTCCCAGACACCCTTTTAGCTCAGTGGTGAAGTCACTTTTGAGGTTCACCGTTTAGTTGGGATTGGACAGCCCCATAAAACAAAATGGGACCAGTGAGGCACAGCAGTCCAGGGACAAGGACTAGAAGGCAGGAAGGGACAGGAAAGCTGGTGATAGAGAACCCAAGGCTGAGAAGGGACAGTGTTGACATGTCGTGGGGTTGTTAACCAGTGTCATAGGGCAACATGTGTACTAACTGTTTAATGAGAAACTATTTTGTTCTGTAAACCTTCATATAAAGCAAGAATAGCAGCACAACGGGAAGAACATAATCAATGTCACTGAATTGTGCATGTAGAAATTTTTGAAATGGTGTACCTTTGGCTATGTATATTTTCACCAAAAAAAAAAGGTTGAGCAGGGAGAGGGTTGACATGTCGTGGGGTTGTTAACCAGTATCATAAAACAATATATGTACTGACTGTTTAATGAGAAACTATTTGTTCTATAAACCTTCACCTAAAGTACAATAAAAAATAAATAAAATAAAAATAAATAAAAGATTTTTTAAACTAACTTAATAATTTATTTGAGTTATAAATTATGCTCTACCTGCTTCTAAGTAATGAATAAACCTTAATAGCAACAATATCAAAGACTATGCTATCAAATTTTTTGAATTCTAATTCATGAGCTCCCTAATTTTTCCACTAAAATCTCATCAGGCTTTTTTATAGAAATTTACAAACTTATTCTAAAATTCCTATGATAATGTAAAAGACCTAGAATGTCAAAATAACTTTTGAAAAGTAGAACAAAGTTGGAGCACTAACACTACCTGATTGAGTTCAGTATTTATTATAAAGCTACAGTAATCAAGATGATGTGGTATTGGAAAAAGGCAGCAAGAGAACAATGTGACAAAATAGAGAGTCCAGAAATAGACATATACACATATACACAACTGATTTTCTACAAAGGAGCAAAGACAATTGAGCGGAGACAACATAGTCTTTTCAAAATGGTGCTAGATAAATTGAATATCCATTTGCAAAAAAATGAACTTCAATCTATAGTTTGCTGTACATATAAAAATTAATTTAAAATGGATCATATGCCTAAAATGTAAAACCAAAACCTATAAGACTTCTGGAAGAAAACACTGGATCAAAGTTTTGTGACCTTGGGTAAGGCAAAGATTCTTAAATAACACCAAAAACATGATCTGTAAAACAAAAAAAATTGATTAATTGGATTTCATCATAATTAAGACTATTGCTCTCCTAAAGACACACCACTGTTAAGAGAATCAAGGGACAAGCCACAGACTCAGAGAAGATATCTTCAAAGCATATATCTGAGGACTTTTATTCAGAATATATAAAGTAATAAGAAGACAAACAATCTAACTTTAAAAATGGGCAAAAAATGTGAACAGAGACTTCACCAAAGAAAATATAGAGATGACAAGTAAACTCATGAGAAGATGCTCAACATCATTAGTCATTAAGGAAATACAAATCAAAACTACAATGAGATATACTATGTACCTATTGTTGTTGGTGCTCTGGTGGCGAAGTGATTAAGAGCTTGACTGCTAACCAAAAGGTTGGCTGTTCGTATCCACCAGCAGCTCCTTGGAAACCCTATGGGGCAGATCTACTCTGTCTTCTAGTGTTGCTATGAGTTGGAATCAACCCAGCCGCAGCGGGTTTGGTTTTTTTGAGTGGGTTTTTATTTTTGTTATTAGGTGCCGTCGAGTCGATTCTGACTCATGATGACCCTACAGGACAGAGCAGAACTGCCCCCACAGGGTTTTCTAGGCTGTAATCTTTACGCGAGCAGATTGCCAGGTCTTTTCTCCCACAGAGTAGCTGTTGGGTTCAAACCGCCAACCTTTAGGTTAGCAGCCAAGCGCTTAACCATTGTGCCACCAGGGGTTCTTATGCACCTATTAGAAGGGCTAAAACTATAGACTGACCATACTAAGTACTGGCAAGAATTTGGAGAAACTGAGACTCTCATACACTGTTGGTGGGAATGTAAAAACCACTTTGGAAAACAGTCTAGCAGTTTCTTAAAGAAGTTAAATGTACACCTATCATATAGTCTAGCTATTCTACTTCTAGGTAATTACCCAAGAGAAATGAAAGCATATCTCTCTACAAAGACTTGTACACAAACGTTCATAGCAGCTTTATTTGTAATAGCCAAACTCTTGAAACAACCTAATGTACATCACTAAGTGAGTAGACAAACCTATATCTATACAATGTGTATATCTATACAATGGGACTCTATTCAGCAATACAAAGAAATGAACTATTGATACATGCTACAACGTGTGAATCTCAAAAAAATTACATTGTGAAACAATTCAGTAAAAAAGTAAATACTTTATTATTCCATTTATATATAAAGTTCTGAGAAATGCCAATGAATCTATAGTGACAGAAAGCAGATCCAGTGGCTACTTGGGAATGAGGGAGAAATGGTGGGGAAAAGGTGGGAAGAGATTACAAAAGGGCATGAGGAACTTTTTAGGGTGATGGATGTGTTTACTGTCTGGATTGTGGTGATGGTTTCACGGGTATGTATGTGCGCATGTTAAAACTTGACAAATTGAGCACTTTAAGGTGACTTTGGTGAAGGGTAGGAAAAAAGAAAATTAAAAAAAATTGTGCACTTTATATACACTTTCTTTTATGTCAATTAAGCTTCATAATGCTATTTTAAAAATAATAAAAATGACAAAAAGACAATGCAAACTATGACAAATATCTAAAATGAAATACCTTATTAATTGATTGACTTACTTTCAAACACCGGAACTGGCTTCCTTGTGTTCAAAGTCTCCAAAAGTTGTTTGAGGCTTACTTCACTATTTTCTAAAAAGTAAAGTATAATGATTACGAAATGGCAAAGTATCAATGCTGATAATCATTAAATAATCATGGTAAGGAGGCAGGGAGTGGGCAAATTCTGTAATTTCTGAAAATTAGCTGGATAAAAATCAATTTAAAAGAGTTTTACCCAAAATCTGTTCCCTCAAAATGAAATTTTAACTATATTAATTCATTTAGCTTAAATAATCTAATTTATACTTGTATCTTATAGGTTTGATGTTAGGTAGAGGTCGCCTCTTAAAGTATTTCCAGGAGAAGAAAAATATGAATTTTCATTAACTCTTAATAAGCCTATGCTCTCATTATATTTCTAAAACCTAGTTTATCTAAAATGTACATATATACAACAGATGTCACAAGCACACAGGACTAACGAAGACTTCATTCTGCTTCATATAGTGCTCTTTCAAAAAGGATTCACCATCAATAGATGCTTGTCTCAGGATCTCCTGGAATGTCTTGCTGCTTAATGGAACTCCAGTACTCAAGAGTCTGGAGCTCATTTCATTTACAGGCATCTTCTCATTTCTAATCTTATCAACAGTTGCAATCTCTTGAAATAAATCTGTAAATACATGAAGAATAGAGAACAAATGATGAAACTGGGGCAGAGCCCTTTCTAGAACTTAACACCCATAGCCTGCAGAAAGCTAGGTATATGATAGGAGGAATTCTGAATTAAAGAGCTTTTAAACATATCAGTGGGCTTTGCTTTTAGAAGTTAATTAAAGAATAAACAAAATTTAAGATACCCTTAGTTAGATAAAAGTTGAGTTTCTGCAAGATTTTGTATAAGTCACTTTTACACATTAACTATTTCCCCTCAAAGGTGTTTTTGCTGTTGCTCAGGTCTTTCATAGGCTACAAAGCATTTCAAGAAAACTTAGGTGGTAATTCTTAAAATTAGGTCATGCAGTAGAAATAGAAGGCAAGTTGTTGGGGAAAGAAAAACTTTCAAAATATAAGCCTTCTATGGATTCAAGAACACTAGTCACTCATTATCCTAGCATTAGAGAGCCTTTCTCTCTTACAGTCTACCTACTAGTTTTAGATACATCCTTTTAGTACTTTCTTTTATGTTTAACTATTAAAAAAAACCAAACCCATTACTGTTGAGTCAATTCTGACTCACAGTGACCCTACAGGACACAGTAGAATTGCCTCATAGTTTCTAAGGAGCACCTGGTGGATTCAAACTGCCAACCTTTTGGTTAGCAGTCGTAGCACTTAACCACTATGCCACCAAGGTTTCCTGTTTCACTATAGGGGAAGAAAAATAAGCATGTGGAAATAAACGAAGGTGAGAGAATATTGTATTAGAATAATGATAGCGTGAGATGTGTAACTTTATAATGAAGCATATACTGAGACAAATAAATAATTAGCTTTGAGGACGCATATTCTAGGTATGTGATTCTAATCAATTCATTATAGTCAAAGCATAGATTGAATAAATGGTAAGGAATAGGAAAGCAGATTGCAACATCTCAAATAAAGCATGAAAAATATATATCTTAGTACTACATAACCTGAGTGTAGTTTTTTTTTTTTTATTAATATGTTTACCTGTGTTTTATTGACTACACAAAGGCATTCGACTGTTTGAATCATAACAAATTATGGATAACATTGAGAAGAATGGAAATTCAGAATACTTAATTGTGCACATGCAGAACTGTACATAGACCAAGAGGCAGTTGTTCAAACAAAACAAGGGGATACTGCATGGTTTAAAGTCAGGAAATGTGTGCATCAGGGTTGTATCTTTTCACTATACTTATTCCATCTGTATGCTGAACAATAACCCAAGAAGCCGGACTATATGAAGAAGAATGGGGCATCAGGATTGGAGGAAGACTCATTAACAACCTGCGTTATGCAGATGACACAACCTTGCTTGCTGAAAGTGAAAAGGACTTAAAGCACTTACTGATGAAGATCAAAGACCACAGCCTTCACTATGGATTACATCTCAACATAAAGAAAACAAAAATCCTCACAACTGGGCCAATAACCAACAACATGATAAATGGAGAAAGATTGAAGTTGTCAAGGATTTCATTTTACTTGGACCCACAATCAATTCCCACGGAAACAGCAGTCAAGAAATCACATGATGCATTGTATGGGGAAAATCTGCCGCAAAAGACCTCTTAAAAGTGTTAAAAAGCAAAGATGTCACTTTGAGGACTAAGGTATGCCTGACCCAAGCCATGATATTTTCAATCACCTCATATGCATGCAAAAGATGGACAATGACTAAGGAAGACTGAAGAATTAATGCCTTTGAATCATGGTGTTGGTGAAGAATATTGAATATACCACAACTGCCAGAAGAACGAACAAGTCTGTCTTGGAAGAAATACAGCCAGAGTGCTCCTTGGAAGCAAGGATGGTGAGATTTCGTCTCACGTACTTTGGACATGTTATCAGGAGGGACCAGTCCCTGGAGAAGGACATCATGAGTAGAACCGCACTAGAGTTTCCAACGAGCAGCTGGTGGATTCAAACTGCCAACTTTTTGGTTAGCAGCTGAGCTCTTTAACCACTATGCCACCAGGGACCCTGGTAAGGTAGAGGGTCAGCAAATTACAGGAAAACCCTCAACAAGATGGATTGACACAGCGGCTGCAACAATGGGCTCAAACAGCAATGATTGTGAGGATGGCACAGGACCAGGCAGTGTTTTGTTCTGTTGTATACAGGGTCGCTATGAGTCAGAATCGACTCGACGGCACCTAACAACAACAACAGTTTTTTAACTGTGACTCATACAGTGGATAGTGAAATAAATTTAGTAGGTCCTGAATAGCATTTAAAAATGAAATAAAATAATGTGAAATTCATTAGAAGACATCAGAGTGCATCAGGAGTGGTAAGGGTGAGCATTATTTTGTTTTATAAAACATATTTTTCTCTCTGTCTATGTGTGTATACTTGCTCACAATCTAAATGCAGTTCTTACTATTCATTACAGGACAGTTATAAGTAACCAAGTTATAAGAAACCAAGAATTGCTTGTAATTTCAATGGGAATATGAAGTTTGAGGAAGAGCGAGGAGTGTAAAAGACCAAAATTCTTCATCTATCCATAATAGGAAATCAGTAACATATATTTTATTGATAAATTAAGAGATATCATTATATACATTTTATTTAAGAACATAGTGGTAAATATCAAAAGTAAGAGGAAAATAAACTGAAAGTGATTATTTTTTCTGGAGCAGGAAATAAGGGGTGCAGGAGTGGGGAGGTTGTGAAGATAGCTATTTTTTTACCTAAGTTTGCATAAATCAATTGATCTGAAACTTAATAATGCATACAAAGGCCTGACTGTTAACTGAACATCAGTCTTCATGAAGGTACTCTATAAATCGGACTTTTTTTGCTACTTGAAGGGTTTTCCTTCAAATTAGTTCAAATTAAACAATCTTAAAAATTTTTCTGGCCTGAAAGAAATTAACAAACAACTAGCATGAAGTATCCAAGTTTTGCTGCATTACGTATTAACAGAAATGTGATCACTAAGTGCCAATTAATGCTTATCAAATTACTTGCTGAATTTTTTTCCCCACTTAACAATTAAGTTTATTTAGTAAAGGCAGACAGTACAGAGGACTGGTTGAGAGCAAGGATGTAGGCTGTCTGAACTCAACTCACAGGTCTGCTATTATCTAGCCATGTGACTTTGGCCGAGTTACTCTCTGTGCCTCAGTTCCTCAGTTGTAAAATACAGACGGTAAAATATTAGTACCTTCCTCTCAGTGCTACTATGAGGATTAAATAAATTCATGCGTACAGATTGCTTAGGACAGTGAGTGGCACTATTTAAGTATTTGCTATGTAAGAGTAAGGAGTCCTGGTGCCACAACAGTTAAGTGTTCAGCTTTTAACCGCAAGGTTGGCAGTTTGAACCCACTCAGTGCCTCCATGGAAGAAAGACCTGGCAATCTGCTCCCATATGTATTACAGCCAAGAAAACCCTATGGGACAGTTCTACTATGTCACAGCGGGTTGCTATGAGTCAGAATCAATTTGTCGGCACCCAACAACAATTTCTTTAAGGGGGCATGATGGCACAACAGTTAAGTACTTGGCTGCTAATTGAAAGGTTGGCAGTTTGAGCCCATCCAGCAGCTCCACAGAAGAAAGACTTGGAAATCTGCTCACATAAAGATTATAGCCTAGAAAACCCTATGGGGTAGGTCTACTCTGGGCTCACTCAACACACCTAACAACAACAACACGTAAGAGTGCCCCTGGGCTTATATTTTTCATTTTGGTAGTGGTAGATAAAAATTTTCCCTAGTCTGAAAAGATGAGTCCAAAGGACTAATGGACCACAGCTACCTGGCCTCCACCAGACTGAGTCCAGTACAGCTAGATGGTACCCGGCTACCACCACTGACTGCTCTGACCAGGATCACAACAGAGGGTCCTGGACAGAGCTAGAGAAGGATGTAGAACAAAATTTTAACTCACAAAAAGAGACCAGATTTACTGGC